AGGCGTAAAAATGAGGAGATGCCACCACCCAACGATTGGTCTTCTCTGTCGGCTGAACCAATTATTCCCTGTATCAATATTATTAAGGAAACTAGGAAAGCTGAACAGACTCCTCATACGGGTTACAGAGTATTACTTAGTAGGAGTAACATATAAAGTTGTGGGCCCCATACCCATCATGGGCCCTGGGCAAGTGCCCCTTGCCCTCCCTCCAGAACCGGGACTGGATATGAATTGAGTACGAAAGTAATCAAGTATTTCAATGCAGAGATAATTTTGACAACCCTTTAGTATAAATGCATAATCAGTGGCGGAACTAGAAAATATATTAAGGAGGGGCACAATCACATAAACGGGAAAACATGTCGGAGGGCAGGACAAGCATGGCCACACGGCGGTCGGCGAGCAAGCTTCGGCAGCCCTGACGATTTGCCGATTACCAATGCGTTGTCCAACTTTTATTCTCCTCCATCCCTTTTTGTTTAGCTAAATTTAACTTTTTCAAGTCAATGATATCTAACTTTGAACAATTATATATTTATACACTTAAGTATTGATAATATAAAAAAGGATATGAAAATGTTACTACGTATTTGCCAATTATACTATCATATAAGTATAAAATTATTAAATTTTACATAAATATATTAATTAAAGTAAATTTTCAAAGTTTATTGTCTATTTGTCTTTGACTGGAAAAATCACAAATGATTAAATAAAATGGGAAGAATCTAATATAATGTTATATAATCATAATTCTTGTTCAAAATTCGTTTTAACCTTACCTCAATTCAATAAGCTTAGCTCACAACAGCGGTGAACAAACTGGGAATTCTACAGCATACTCCGTATTGATTTTATTATTTCATCCCATCAAGTGGGCTTTGGGCATTGATGATTTTATAATTGGACCCAACAGTAGCAGGAGTGCAGGATTCCCAATCGGCCCTACTGCCCTAAGCACTTTCTTTCTTCCCGTGGCCTTCCATACAACATACGACGTCGTCCAACATAAAAGAAAAATTCAATCGACGATTATCCCCGTCCAGAGCTCCAACCCTCCCGCCGGAAAATTAACCAGTCCGGCGCCCACCCAACGGCCACCCCTTTCTGCCCTTCCCATACCTTAATACCTATCTCGTACGGTCGAAGCAGGGGCACCGGCTCCCTGGCCCCCCTTGCAAATCCGCCCCTGGTATAATGATAATACTCCGTAGTAAATAGTCTATAGTTTACAAGAGTATATTCACTATTGATTACTCTTTGGGCCTGGCCCAATGTGTGTGTTAGTGCTAACGGGACGTCTGATCTGATCAATAATCGACCATTTTGGGCCGGTTTCAAATTTGTCCATATATAGGTGTCTCACGCCTCGTCATGCCGCTCAGGAATAATATCTATTCCTACACATTACTCAAACAGCATACGACAAATTAGAGGCCGCTGGTAATAGTTTTTAAATTCTTAGCTATACTCTACAAACCCCAATCAAATTTTGATTCACATTATTTGCAAAAACAATAAAGATATGAAGCAAAACAAGTCACTAATTGTATTTTTAATTTCAGTTTCCATATCTAGATAAAGTAATTAATTCTAATCATTTAAATGTTCAAAGAACCAATTGGAATGACGATATTAGGATCAATTGATTTAATACTTTTTACTAAAGTTGTTTTTACTTTGAATATGACCAGACTAAAACATGCTAGATCACACTTAAATAGACTAGATTAGACCAGATCAAATTTAAATAGACTAGATTACACCAGACTTCAACATTCATATAATAAAAAAAACAAGACATCTATCAGATTAGATCAGACCAGTTCAAATCAAATCTAACCAAATTAGACTTAAATAGATCAAATCAAATCAGATTACACTTAAAAATTTCATTCCAAGTAAAATCATCATAAATAAAAACGAGAGAATTAGTTTTATGAAGAGTCTTAGTTTAATGGATCAGTTTTATGAACAGATTTAGCCAATCTCGACCCATAAATAGATTTAAGATGGTTTGTATGTCATTTGTCAATTGTGAAACGTGTTAAGAGAACTCAATTGACTTTTGAAATAGATGATAATAACTTTTATCAAATTATAAAAGGAGTGAATTGTTTTGAGTCAATCATTGATTACGGATGTTTTCTTTGACTATTTTGAGTCCCAGACCAGATCAAACCAGACTTCCATAGTTATAAAATACAAAGAGACCAGACGTTTACCAGACCAGACCAGTTCAGACCAGACCAGATCAAACTAGACCAGACCAGCAAATTTCAGTCCAAAAGAAAACATCCTAAGAATCCAGAGTAAATTCGGCAAAATACTCCGCGTATACAAAGCAAATATATATATGTTAAATTCATACTTCTTATTAAGTCATTAAATTAAATGAATGTGACAAGTGGTAATGAACTTAGACTATTTTTTCATTTTTTGGGACATTTCTATTCCTTTTAAAATCATAAATAAATACAAAAGATTTGAAAAACATGATCGGATAAAGCTCAAAATAATTAATGTAATATATAATAGAATGACACATTTTCTGTTCATTACACATTTTATGTTTTGATTACTTTACTATGAAAAACTTGGTTTATTAATGACAATTGTCCTTGATTCATATTCATTCTTTTTCAGAGCTCCGTTTCCTTTTTGCACCTAACTCATTGATTGAGTTTGTTCGTTTAGAGCGAGACAAAACATGACCATCGAGTAGGGGTGCAAACGAGTCGAGCCGAGCCCGAACATGGGTATGGTTGAGCTTGAACTTGATAAGGATTCACGAGCTCGAGCTGAGCTCGGCTCGAGCTCCATTCGAACTTGATTCGAGCTCGGGTCAAATTTTGCTAATTAATTTTTATAGGTTTAAACTCAAATAAGATGCTCGAACTCGAGCTAAAAATATTACTCTGTATATGTGTACTTATTCATTCTCATTTTTAGTTTATCTCTCATTTACTAACATTTTTATTCTTTATTTTACTGTCAATAAATATTAAGAGTACATATTATAATCATCTGAACCTCCCTTGCCCGGGAGGCTCTGCACATGTTAATATTTTTGTAATTATTACTATTATAATATACTCTGTGATAAGTATTGAAAATAAAATAATCTTAAATTAGAATATATATTTCAAAAAAACTATATATATAATTATTACATATATATTTATTATATACTAGTATAAAATAGGGAAAAGTACAGAAAATGTACCTGTGGTTTGGACCATTTTTAGATAGGGGCATGTGTTTCATTTTCTAACAAACTATCTTTATTTTTTTTTGTTTCCAGCCAGGGCCGGTCCTGGTATAGGGGCAGCCTGGGCTGCTGCCCCGGGCCCACAAGGAAAAAGGGGCCCACAGATTTTATAGTAGTTATTATATATATAAATTAATAATACTAAATATCTAAATTAATTAATAGTACTCCGTATAGTCGTATACGGTAAGATATCAATCTCTATTTCGTAGTTCTAGATTGAGCCAAGGCCCACATGCGAGAGGAAGACTTTCGAACTCCCTCACAAAAATCGAAAACTAAACATTAGTTACATTAATACCAATCCTAACCAATTCTGGATTTAGTTCCCAAACGTTGGATACTCAATCTTTCCGCCTCCCTGATACAAATCATATGAATCTCTTTGGTCTGTTACAATCAACTACACGCTTTGCTTAATTGATTCAACCGTCAGCCTTTGTTATTCTTTGCTCTCAAATCTTAAATTCTCAATTCTCAAATTCTTAATTTTTGTCTTTTCCTCTAATCCTCTCTAGACCTCTCAAAGGATTCAACCATCAGACGAGGACGAGCACTGCCGCACGGTGCTCACATGCATTTACTAATTATGTAAATTGACTACATTAATTTATAATTTTAATTATTTAGTATATTACTTTATGGGTTTACTTGTAGTACTAAGCCAATGGCGGATAGCTTCTGTCTTTTTCATATTTTAGCATCCTTTTCTATCTGGGTTTACTTGTATCTAGTATATTACTTAGAAAATGGTTTTTAATTAAGGATATAAAGTTGAAATTTATTTATATCTTTTAATCTTTCCATACAATTGGTCGATTGCTATTTTGCATTTTCGCTTTTTAATCACGAGCTTTTTGTAGGGGATCATATATTACAAGCGTTCACCGGCACTAACATCTATAGGGCCTATTTTTTGTCTTTTGCCCGGGCCCATAATTAGTCAGGACCGGCGCTGTTTCCAGCCACCATATCTCCAGAAAGTCCATCAGAAAATTGATATTAGAGAATTTGTTTTTAAAAAATAATCCCAATAGAGCCGAAAAATCCAAAGAGAAAGATAGTTTGTTGATCTCCTTGACGAGGCGCACCTCCCAATATTTTTCTTTTAATTTTTTGGAGACTTTTTAAAATCGGAATTAATTTTTCTAACGACGTTAGGCGTCATGCCCCTTCTATGATAACAGAATTGAAACACATGCCCCACTTTGTTAGAAAATGAAACACATGCCCCTATGCCCCTATCTGAAAATGGTCCAAACCACATGTACGTTTTCTGTACTTTTCCCAATAAAATATGACACAAAGGCTCGCGAACGGGCTCGCGAGCCACGAGCCTAAAATAAATAGGCTTGAATTGAGCTTGTTAACTATTCGAGTCGAGCTGAACTCGAGTCAAGCTTAATATAACCGAACTCGAGTCGAGCTTTTCCAGAACAATCCACGAGCAGCTCGCGAGCGGCTTGACTCATTTACACCCCTACCATCGAGTAAATCCAGAGTTGGAGGATCATAATTTGAGAAAATATTCTCAAATTCATTCTATTCTACTATAAGTGATTTGAACTCGAGACCTCAATTTAGCTTATATAAGAAAGATATTAATTGAGTCTAATTTTTCTTTGTAATCTGGGCTATTCCCTAATTATACCCCGTAAGTCCGTATTGATTTTTTATCTGATCCGGATCCGTAATATCTAGGCCCATCTTCTGTTATCCAGCCATCTTCATTCTTCAGGAGGGCGCCAATTTGTCGTTTCTCCCATTCTGGAAGTTTTAAGTTATCACCTGTTTTTACTGAAGTGGGTCCGGCCGGACCGAACACCGACCTTACTACAAACTACAAATCTTCATTGCTTTGCTTTCATCTCAATCTTCTACTGCCACATTATCTTTCTGCTCAAGGAAGACGAAAATTTTGCAGAAATGGCGACTGCTGAGTCGGCGGGCAAACCGAAGTCGATAACGGGAGAGGCTGGCTTTGTCCTGGAAGACGTGCCTCACTTGTCTGATTACATCCCCGATCTCCCTGTATCTTTCTATCTCTTCAATCTGCAGCCATTTTCGTTGTTTACTTCTTGTTCTCTTTGATACATACTATCGGATTATATAATCCGTTTTTTATATTCTTGTATTGATGTTACCCTTTTGTAATCTTTGTTGGAAATTTGGAAGGAAACCATGTTTGATTTTTTCAAATCAGTTGCTAATTTGCTATGGCATTGTACATTTAGTTGAACTTCGAGTTGATTGTGGTGATTCTTGGATTGGATTGCTTCACTGCATGACCTAATTTGTACACAAGGTGTTAATGTTAGTGAGATATATATGTATAAATGTTTATGCGAAGTGAAACTTTGGCCGCCTTGTCGACTCCGCCACCTGGAGTTGGCGCTTTTCTTACAGAGTAATTTTTGCGTTGAAATGACGATTTAGTCGGATGCCTGGGAGACTTGCAACTCCCTCAATTACTTTTTGTCCTGTTATTCATATTGATTAGCCCTACACCATCGTTTCTTTTGCAGACTTATCCGAACCCATTGCAAGACAACCCTTCTTATGCAGTTGTTAAGTAAGTGCGGCTATGTGATTACTATGTTTGGGCTTGTTCTGAGCTTAAGATTATGTCCACACACTTTCATTGACATGCATTTCTTCTTGAACAGGCAATATTTTGTTAATGATGGTGATTGTGTTACTGAGAAGGTGATTGTTTCTCTATAATTTCATCCGTTTTCTATCCAATAATAACCATATGGGCACTAAGCACTTTAGAAAATATCCCCTCCATAGTTGTGCTGGGATTTCTCCTGCCACATGTGGAGTTCTTGCTCTAAACCCAATACGATACGCAAAATTGTGTGGTTGTGTCTTGCTTGCAGATTGTTGTTCATAAAAATTGTCCAAGAGGGACTCATTTTCGACGGGCTGGTCCTCGTCAAAAGGTTATACTCCCGCTTTTATCTCTTTCTCTCTTTAAACTTTACTGCTTTTATGCCCTATATTGAATTGTAAAGAAGGTTGATGGATCTTTATTATCAGGTTTACTTCAAATCCGATGATGTTCTAGCATGTATAGTGACTTGTGGAGGTTTATGCCCTGGGTTAAACACGGTGATTAGGGAATTAGTGTGCGGTCTGCACCACATGTATGGTGTGAGCAATGTTCTCGGGATAGAGGTAAGCAACAGTTAAGATTTTGATCTTTTAGTGAATATACATATATATATCCTCTTTAGAAGATTTTTTAAGATGCTAATATTTTAACATATGGGCTCCCAGCTGGGATTTAAAGGCTTTTACTCTAGGAATACTGTCCCTTTGACACCAAAAGTAGTTAATGACATTCATAAACGCGGTGGTACCCTTCTCGGGACATCAAGAGGGGGTTATGTGACATCAAAAATAGTTGACAGCATTCAAGACCGTGGTATTAATCAGGTACTTACATTTCCTTGTTAGTTGTTATAGTATAGCGCTTGGTTTAAGAATTCACATTATTAATGGTTTCAGGTTTACATAATTGGAGGAGATGGCACTCAGAAAGGAGCTTCTGTGATCTTTGAGGTAGTATATTACTGACAAGTGTCATAAAGTTTACAATTTCAAACCTTTGCTTATGGTGCGCTCTGTTACACAGGAAATAAAAAAGAGAGGTCTCAAAGTTTCTGTAGTTGGAATACCTAAGACCATTGATAATGATATTCCGGTATTCAAATATATTTTACGAAACAAGTGTATATTACTTTTGAAATTTCCTTGATGGACTTATTTTTCCTCTTGCTGACTTGCATTGGTCTCTTATTAGGTTATTGACAAATCCTTTGGTTTTGACACTGCTGTTGAGGAAGCTCAAAGAGCTATTGATGCTGCACATGTTGAGGCTGAAAGTGCAGAAAATGGGATTGGTGTTGTGAAATTGATGGGGCGCTATAGTGGTACTACTACATAAAATTCAGCAATACGGAGTATATGAACTAGTTTGTATTGTATATCATAGTTCATTATATTATACGCAAGCTTTGGATCGTTTTCAGGATTCATAGCGATGTATGCTACTCTTGCCAGCAGAGATGTGGACTGCTGCTTGATTCCAGAATCACCTTTTCATTTAGAAGGGCCTGGTGGACTTTATAAATACATAAAGGGAACACTGCGGGAAAATGGGCACATGATCATTGTGATTGCTGAAGGTGCAGGGCAGGAGCTGCTTTCTGATAGCCTGCAAGAAAACAAAACAGACCAACAACAGGATCCATCAGGGAATAAGTTGCTCCCAGATGTTGGGCTTTGGTTATCCCAAAAGATCAAGGTATTGATGTGCAATAGTTTTTAGATAAAACAAGGGTAGATAATATATTCCCTCAGGTCACTTTTACTTGTTCGAGTTAGTTTTTCACTGAAATTAGGAGTAAAATTGTAGGGGTAGTGAATAATTTAGAAAAACTTAAAAATAAGAGAGGGGGGTGGAAAAAGTAAGAAGAGTTGGGAGCAGAAGATAAAAATTAAGGGTATTTAAGTCTTTTATAAATGAAGAGTAGGAAAATTGCTAATAATGGAAAATGAAGCAAGTAATAATAAACTCACATAGACAGAAAGTGAAAGCGTGAAACAAGTAAAATTGAACACAAGGATCATTTCTTTTATGTGTTCCGTGTTTTTGAGGCTCCACAATCTAACCTTGTACGTAAATGTATTCTCAAATCCGCAGCTATGTAGTTTGTTGTGTGTGCTCATATTATTGCCTTACTACTGCAGGATCATTTTAAGAAGCATGGATCGTTGGATATAACTCTGAAATATATAGGTACGCATATAATCATACTTTTCTCTGACAAAGAAACTTTTGGTTCCTACTGTTCGAGACTTGCACCACTTTATCCATGTATATTTACTAATGGATGTACTTATACCCGGAAATTTGTGTTGTGGTCAGTGGTCACACTTTAGTTTCGTGTGTTATCTATTTCAGGTGTACATGACAGAACAGTCATTTTTACTAATATAGAGTAAAGGTATTTTCAACATATAGAATCCCAACTAAGGAAACATTTGGATGTGTTGGAAAAGGTTTGAACATTTGAAAATTTCAAAATATTCAAGAAAAAATGAAGTAGAAAAAAGATATCCAAAGGTTAAAGGTAGTGTGGTCGTGGTACGTGTGTCAAACTTTAGGGACTCCCGGCTTACCTTTCATATTATTCTAATCAGTATATAATTAATTAAACTAAAAGTCCCCTATCATATGGCAGATCCAACCTACATGATACGCGCAATTCCAAGCAACGCGTCAGACAATGTCTACTGTACACTTCTTGCTCATAGTGCCATTCATGGAGCAATGGCCGGGTACACAGGTTTCACAGTAGGTCCTGTCAATGGAAGACATGCCTACATACCATTCTATGTAAGTCCTTGATCAACTTTTTGTAGAGTTACTCTTTTTCTTGTAAACTTGGCAGCATGTCAAATGACAGACATGCTTAATTGCTTAGATACATTTAACTCCAAAACATATCATATATCTGGATTTACTCCTCAAGGTTAAGTTTGTGCCCTAGAAAATACTATCGAAAACAAAAAAGAAATTAGTTTTAGTATTTTTACTTTTACATTTGACAATACAAACAAAAATGAAATGTGATTATTTGCCTATCTTTTACATGTATAGTTGTATACAGATTCCATATATAGACATAGATAAATTAAATGAGAATAAAAAAAATTCTAAACATATTTCTTGAGTTTTGTCATAGCTTTTATTCCCCCCCATTTCATTGCCAATGTTCTTCTATGTTTCCCCTCCTATTTAGTGAATTCTAATATGAACCTTCTTCTAATCGTGATTCTTGGTATTCCCTGTTTCCTTATCCTAATTAAGGGGTGTTTGGATCTGATTCTCAAAACTGATTCTGCTCCTTCAGGGAGCAGAAGCAGAAGCTGGAGTGTTTGGGTGAAATTCCAGAAGTACTTCTGGAGCTCTAATTTACTCTCAGAATCAGTTTTTTTAGAAGCTGGGGGGTACCAGCTTCTGAAAACTGATTCTGATTCTGCTTCTGCTTTTAAAAAAGAAGCAGAAGCAGAATCAGTTCCAAACACCCCCTAAGAAATATTCTACTCAAGCAAACAAAATTGATTTTTCATGGTATTGTCGAACTTAATGGGAGATGGGTAGGCAAGGATTGACCCTTTGTGGACTCTAGAAAGACCATCTATGAAGGATTTTGAATTGTCTTCCCAATCATAGGTACACCACCCACTGATAAGAATGGAAGTTTAAAACCCATCTCTAAACCTCACGGAACATTCTCCCAAACAAAGGGTGAAAAAGCGAATTCTTCCTTGCTATGGCATACAATATGCATTTCTTTCTTTTACTCACTGAACTGGAAAATGTTCCTCATGGACTCCATTTCATTCATATTGATAATGTTAATAGATTCTCCTAACAATGGGATGTTTCCTTTTGTAGCGCATAAATGAGAAACAAAACAGGGTGGTGGTAACAGACAGGATGTGGGCCAGAGTCCTCTCTTCTACCAATCAACCGAGTTTCTTGGACTTGAAGGATGACGTTATGGATGTAATCAATGAAGAAAACCCACCAGAAACGCAGTAACTAGATGGTGACAGAGGACATCCCACACGAGATGAAGGGATTGGTATGAATTTGGCGGACATGTGGAATTGTGGAAACCTGACAGATTTTGACTTTCTTTCTGATTTGTGCTATAACTTGTGTTCAAAATGTACGTTGGCATGCTGGTATTAGGAGGGAATGTTTACTCCACTGTACATTGATGAGAAAACTTGAGAAATAGATTGATGGAAGTAAAAAAATTGGAAGTAGAAAATTGCAAATTTACGGAAAAGTTGGATTTCCGTCTAGTCAAAATTATGTCCCCGACAACTAATTGGAATAGAGTTTCTGTTTTCTTGTTTTTTTAATGGTGTAAACATCACATCATATAATATTTTATCTTTACACCATTTTCATATATTCCCTTTTTATCATTTTACTAACTTTTTACCATTCTTCTATTTAAGTATCTAATTATCATATATTTATACATTAGCTCCTCATTTAGTATTTTGACATTTCACACATTATTTCACACATACAAACTAAAATACACCATTTTAATATGTATTTTCACGCATTTCACTAATTAAAATACAATAATCAATATTTCACAAATACAAGCTAAAACACATAAAATTAAATATTACAATAATATTATAATAATTTGTACGTCATTAATCAAGTACTACTTAAACTTACAGCAATACCCGATCAGTTCAGACCAAGACCAGATCAGATCAGACTTGAGTTATAAAAATACAAAGAAACTAGACCAGATCAGTTCAGATAAGACCAAATCGGACCAGACCAGCAAATTACAGTCCAAGTAAAAACATCCTAATTTGTTGTTCTAAAAATGGGCCAAAAGTATAACAACCAAAAGTTTGGGTCACATTTGAAATTTAAAAAGTTAAAAAAGAAGAAGTTGGTGTGCGTCATATATGGCGTAAACCCAAACTCCCTCTCTCATTTTGGTGAGATGGTGTAAAGAATGGTGTAGCTATTGGAGCAAATTTTTGACAAATACATCATTTTGGTGTGTGACTTGGTGGTGTGTTGGAGAAGCTCTAAACATAGGATTTCTTAAAACTCTATAAATGCGGTGCATTCAAAACCTCCAACTCGAAAAGCAATGTTAAAGGGAAAATTTCGTGCCGGACATTGTTGATGTAATTTACCTTTGTGATCAAAACTATTAGCTTTAAATTGTAAAGCTAATGTACATTAGCAATGTCCGGTACAAATTATTTAAACCTGAATTGTTAATTTTTAAATTAAATAAATAGTTACTTCTAAAGTTAAAGCAAATTTTACACAAATATGTGCTCTAAAGTTACTCTATAAAACAAGATTTAAAAACTTAGAGACGAAGCCGGTTGTGTGGCTATCGTGTTTCATAGACGACAATAACGAAGCATGGCAGCAAACTCACAGGTAGACATTGGTGATTTCAATGGAGAAGTTTGAAGACTAATACTGCAAGTTGACTATAGAAGACGAATATGAGGGTCTGGTACTCGAAGATGCAATCATTGGTGCAAGGGGACTGGGAGAGTAGGGTCTCAACTCTCATGTGGATTTTCAGGTGGTCCGAACTCTGTTCACCATAAAAGAACTTTGGAAGAGAAATTTATAGAAAGTTTTTATTTCCATATTATTTTTTAATTTTGTACGTCTTCCTCCGAAACCACATCCATGTAGTGCTGGACTCGGGCCGGTTCGGGCCCAGTTCGGGCCTGGGCCCGGCCGGGCCTCGGGCCAGGAAAGGGAGGCCCGAGCCCGAACCGCCGGTGGCCGGTTCCGGGCCAAACCGGGCCGGGCCGGGCCGAACCGGCCCAATTAATTTTTTTTTTTGTTCTCCTATTTAATCCCCTACCCCTCCCCCTCAACCCCAAACCATCCCAAACCACCTCAAATGGCCCAAAATACCTAATCCAACCTAAAACTTAAAAAAATTTCAAAAAAAAAAAAAATTAAAATCCGGCCCGGACCGGGCCCGAACCGGCCGGGCCGGTTCACCAAAACCTGGGCCCGGGCCCGAACCGCCCAGCAGCCGGGCCGGGCCGAACCGAACCGGCGGACCCACCGGGCCCCGGGCCGGGCCAAACATTAACCGGGCCGGGCCGGTTCCGGGCCGGGCCGCCCGGCCCGAGTCCAGCACTACATCCATGTCATGAAGCAATTTATAGAAAGTTTTTATTTCCATTGTTGAGGTTTATTCCTTCAACCCTCGGGTCCAACACGTAAGCCCAAGGATTTCGAGTGGATTTAGTGTGCGAGTAAACTAGCCCAACTAGCAAGTGATAGATATTAAGAAACAACAAGTAGCAAGTAAGTGATTAGGTATTATTATCTGTTAATAACTCCCTAATACAATACTTTCGCTAAGGCTCGTCGGCCGTTCGTCTTACAAGGCAGTAGAGATTCTGCGAATAAGAACGCTATAGCTAGAGTGCTAAGAATAGAAAGTTGTCAACCCTTTACAATGAAATAAATGCTTCTATTTATACCACCAATGGGCAGTTGGCTACGCTGACGTGGAGGACTGTGGGTGGCTGGTGTCCCAACCACCAAATCTTTAGCATTAAATGCACTTCCCGCCAGAATCTAGGTTTCCCGCCTAATTGGTGGGGACGTTCGTCCAGCTGAGGAGGTGGATTCCTCCTGTATGACCCTTCAAGGGGTATTGGGCCGTTCGTCCCTTGGCCCTTGTGGATTCTCGCCATGTGGACTGAACTGCCTCCGACGGCTATGGGCTTGCTCTGACGACGTTCGTCGTCATTCTGGTGGCCTGTGGTCCTGCTCCTTGTTACTGCATAGATGTTCGTCGAGATGGGCCGCTGAGCCCGAACCTCTTCTGCAGACGTTCGTCCACCCCGGAGGAAGTGGGCTTGTCACGCTAGCCTAGTGATCTATCTGGACGTACGTCCGGATGGAGGGGTAAATGAGTCGAACCTCAACTTGGGCCATTAACCCAACATCCATATTATTTTTTAATTTTGTAGTACATGTTTTTATTTTAGTTCAAGTAGGTATAGTTGAAGTATTTTGATTTTTGAAAAACTCAAAAATCGTTTTAGGCTTAATCGTTTTTATTTTAGTTCAAGTAGGTAATGCTTCATTTTCAATCGTTTTAGGCTTAATTTTGCATGTTTTACGTCTAGCGAGTCATGTTGCTTTGTATGATAGATTTACTCTATATCTATTCCTAAAGTTTAGGATCGAATCTGTAATAGATGTTTGGATGTTTCCTTGCATATTTTCTCCATATTAATAAAAACCCGTTAAGTTACATCGTAAATTAAATTGGGGTAGTTCTCGATAAATGCTAAATCCTAAGAAAATATGATAATAATTATTAAATTTCCTAAATAGAATTAACGCTTCCTAAGTTTTCCATATTTTAACAAGTAAATCATATTTTTATTAATAATAAAAGAAATCATGTCAATTATAGGACTAAAGTCTAAAACAAAAGTAAATGTATAAAATTGTGACGTTTATACTTTAGTGACTATAATAATAACTTTTGTGATTATGATGATATTACATTTACTTTGTAGTGGCTATGATAAATGCTTATAGTAACTTAAATCATATTATTCATCACATTTATTTAAGTACGGAGTAATAATTAAGGAAAACCTCTAAGAATATTAATTGTTTTTATAGTAAGAAAGTAAACAAATAAATAAATAAAAAATAGAAAGCAAAAAATCTAAAATAAAATAATGAAAAAAATAAATGAATAAAAACTATAAAAATTATTTTAAAAAATCATGCAAACTCTTGTTGCCGCCTTAGCCACCTTCCAACACCGTTTACTCCAATCACTAGAAAAGAATGTCAACTTGCATAAAATTGTCATCTTGAATGCAATTTCAAAGTAAGTTTTGACATATTTAAAGGGGGTGCGGGTGCGGGTAGCCTAATGCACCATTAGAGAGATATTCAAAGTAATTTTTATGCTGATATTTTTGTGTGTATCTCTCTAACGGTGCATTGGTACAGAATGCACCATTTGAGTAAATGGTGTATTGCGAGATAGACACAAACCATCATGTACCAAAGTACCAATGCACCATTATATCCAATCGGGTCATGAGGTGACCCGATTGTGTGGTTTGTTTCTCATTTTAAAACCAAACCGAGTCCTGGGTGCTTGACCTTGGCTAGTGGCTTGCAAACCCTTTGTGGCCATGGCTCAACTTGGCTAAATCTCTTATATTCACCATTTTTGTGAATATAAGAGATATCTCTAATAAAGAGTAATTATTAGAGATATCTCTCTAAAGGTGCATTACGAGATAGACACAAACCATCCTGTACCAAAGTACCAAAAGCACCATTTTCTCCAATGCTACAATGTGCACGGTGCACATGTGTCATGAGAGAGATAGACACAAAAAATTGAATTTATGATATTTCACTCTCATTTTTTCCACGATTTTATGTGTTTTTGGTAAGTTTTCCTCTACAATGTCAAGCACAATATCTACATCTAGACATTGTGCTTGACATTGTAAAGAAAAACTTACCAAAGTGATACAAGATCTTTCAAATAAGGAGAGAGCTATTTTATTTATTATTTTTTAATTGACCGTCTCTCATGCCACGTAGGGGTGGATTCGGGTCGGGCCACCCGGCCCATGGACCGGCCCGGCCCGCTACTGTGTGGGACCGGCACGGTTCTCGGGTCCGGGTCGGGCCTAGGCCCAGGGATCGGGTCCAGGCTCGGGTCTTACATTTGGCGAACCGGCCCGGCCCAAAATGATTTTTTTTTTTCATTTTTTGGGGTTCCACCCGGGTTGGGCTTGATGGTTAGGAGGGGTTTGGGGGGTGGGGGTGGGGGGGTTAGGAAAGCAAAAAAAAAATAATCAAACCGAAGGCCCAGCCCGGACCGGACCCGGTGGCTACTCGTGCCGGTCCCAGGTCCACCAATTCTGAACCGCCGGCCCGGCCGGGGCTAGGCCCGACCCGAGTCCAGGACTAATGCCACATATGCACCATTCACGTTTTAGCATCAGATATTCTCTAAATAATCTACAATACCCATTCAACTTCAAATAATTCCGTACCGCTTCATTCTCTCATTTTCTCTACTAATTTCCGATTACTCTCTCTACTCATAACAATGGGACGTTTCCTTTCGGTAGCGTATAAATGAGAAACAATGAAAAAACCACCAGAAATGAAGTAACTAGTAAACTACATGGTGAAAGAGGACATCTCACACTGCAAGGGTACATTAGCTCACATGGGATGAACAATGAAGTTGGCATAATTGGCCGGCCGATGGCAGCGTGGAGACTGGAGAGGCACTTATGGTTTTAGACAATTTGATCTTATTTTGATTGCTTTTATGAGAAATTACAAGTTGTTTTATTTTCATGAAATGAAGTGCTGGAAGTTGTATTTGTATCATTTTTTCATAAAAAAGAAAAATATCGATGAACTTCATAATATATTTAGAGAACTAAAAGGAACCTCAATCAAGAATATATTCTTTGGGATCAGAACCACACCTGAACTCCCCCAAAATAGGCGACCACCCAACATTTGAATCTGTTATAGGCCGGAAAAACAATTCATTCATAATTTTTATACAAAATTTTACACACAAAAGAGGTTTATACTTTATACCAGACGTCCTACTGAAACACTAGATTGATCATCTCCTTCAGATTTGCGCATCCCACAATCTCTAAATCACCAAGTTCTAGCTTTGTCAAACTCTTCACGGCAGACTTGGGAACAACACACTTCTTGTATCCCAGTTTTGCCACTGTACTTATCCTTTTTTCCATTAACGGCACCTGCATTTATAATGTCAACAAACGTAAGAAAACGAGGATAGCACACTTTGACAAGTCACTGGGTTGACACACTGTCCTTGGAGTAAACCACACTGCATAAACTTAAAAAGTATCCTTTGATACCAGTAAAAGCGTGGGAAAGGAAAACTAGATACTGCAGAAATTTATTCGGTAAGGACTTGTTCTGTACCGATTTCTGTTTCTTATGAAGATCAAAGAAGATTTTTTTCACTTTGTTTGCAAGTTGTTTTCAAAATTGGCATGATTAGTCTGAGGAAGTGTTTTCTATTGCTTGAAAAAGTGGTTTTCTTCTTTTGCTTAGAAAATTACCTATAAGTAATGTTTTCAATGATGTGCTTCTGCTTAAATGTAAGTGTTTTAAAAACAAAAGCTACTTCATTCATTTTCAAACAGCTTAAAACTGATATTCACCACCTAATATACCAAAATTATCAATTTCATCAAACACACTTAAAGTTTTCTTTGAAAAAATGATTTTCTTTTCAAACACTACCAACTTTTACTATTTGACACTTTTCATATAATGTCTAAAACAAATCACTTATGAGCAATAAAAGAAACGCAAAAACTCCATTTGAGCTCAGTTTACAAACGATAACATATTAAAATTGTAAAACTACAATGTAGTAACTGACAGAAACCGAATGAGCCCTTATGTTTGGGTTTACCCTTGACACAGTGTAAAAGAAAATGAGATATTATTAATTAATTAAAATTATATATATAGGCTTCTTAACCTTTATAAAATAGAAATAAAAAATATGAGTATAAACAAACGCCTAATTAAATTAATGAGTTTCAGCGTATCTTCTTTTCTTCCACATTTTCTTTCCTTTCAATTCTCCACAATAGTTTACACATTTTCTTTCCCATGTTAATTATGAGTTCCAGACGGACCCTAAACATACCATACGAAGTTCACCGCCAAGTCCAATCTCTCCAATGAACACAAAGCCAATTGGTACAGGACATTCCAAGAAACTGTAAAACATGTGTAAATGATTTGAAGGAAAACGTAGAGGCACAGTAGAACTGAATCATATATACGAATATACGATGATCCACTAGATATATGGCCATTAGAAACATTGAAAAGCTTGCCTGCTGCAAATGGCTGCTGCTATAGCAAGATCTCCAGCAGTCTCTGACAGTTTAAATCCGCTGATGACATTCAGATACACACCCTACATATGATTAAGTACACCATTTAACTTTTAAGAATTTAACATAAGGGTAATTGTAAAAAATTAATACTTTCAAAACTTTGAGAGAATGCTTGAGGTGTAGTAAAAGAGGAGCATTTTCTATATAAGAGGCCCTACCCTACCCTCATTCAAGCAACCCCAAAATCATTTCATCTTAAAAGAAAATCTTAGGTAGAAAGCTGAAACCATCAAGGAGAATAATCTGGATGTTGTTTATAAAACTTCTGCATTTCCTGTTGCCCAAATAGTTACAAATTCATTACCAATTTACCAGATATGAAGTCATCATCTAATACCATTCCTGTCTACAAGGTAAAAAGATGTCATTTCCCCTTTTGTTTAAAAAGAGCACCCTTTACAAAAGTAGATACAATTTAGACGGAACAATGTAGATAACAACCCAAGTTATAATAGTTACTTCATACTCCTATGTTTGTTCAAGCCTTAGGAGTGGCCTCTTGTAAAAATGACATGGAAAGCCTATCTCTAAAATGTTTGTCATGGGCTACACTGCTACATACCACATTTATGCAGCTCAAAATAATCTATACTTTACAAATTCAATATCAACAACGCAATTTCACTTGTACTTAAGTTGTGTGTCAGTTTCCCATGTGCCAGACTTAGAGCTAGTTCTCTTTAACTTATTTCACCTACAGTCAGATCAACCAGAACAACTGGTTCAGTTCAGACCAGACCTACAACATACAATATAACATACTACCTCCGTCCCAAAAAAAATCGCCAATTTTTAAAACTTTGACCAACTATATATTTTTATTGAAAATTATTTATAATATAAAAATGATATAAAAATGTTCTTTGTTAAAAGTACTTTCATAAAAGTATAAAATTTATAACTTTCATATTATTATACTAATCAAAATCATGATCCAAAATTTATGAAATGACAGTTTTTTGGGACGGAGGTAGTATAAAACAAGAAAGGAAGGGAAAAGACCTGCAGCACATAGAACCAGAACAGAACAGACCGAATAAACTAAAACCAGAGCAGAAAAGAAAATCACAGTGAACAGGGGGTGAAATGGAATAGCTTCTACCTAAGCTAGACCAATTCCATGATTCAAACGTAGTTTTTTTCTAAATTATATACTACCTTTGTCCCGTTGAAAGGTTCTCATGGCAAAACGGCACGGTTATTTACACAATAATTAAATAAGGTAGTTCGAGTATATTTTGAGAAATAATTTTAATAGATATAAAATATAATGGGGTTAATATTGATAACTGTGATGTTATAAATGTATTATTTTTAATATTTAATGATTAATTTATCATTTAAGATTATTAATTGTTTCCTAAAATGGAAATGGGGACCTTTATATGAAACGTCCAAAAAAGGAAAGTGAAAACCTTGCTACGGGGTGGAGGGAGTATATCTTTATTTTCATTAAACTTCCAAACGTCCTATAAGTAGTTATACTTCCTCTGTTCTTAAATAATTGCTAACAGTCAACATTTCACATTTGTCGAGACACAACTTTGACCATTAATATATATAATTCTGTATTAGTAAAAAAATTTAAAAAAAATAGACTATGAAAATTTACAATGAGACAATTTAACAATATTTTTTTGATAAAAATGTACTAATATATTAATATAAAAAAAACGTAGTCAAAGTAGAACATGTGAATAGTGTAATATTCAACGTGTTGCATTTATTTAAGAACAGAGGTAGTATATTGTATCACTGTTTGCCGAATAATCAATCACAAGAAGCTTCTTTGTTGATTTAATAGAAATTCATGGATCTACAACTCTATTGTGTTGAATGTTAGTTGAGATGGAAGGTTTGTTGGTGTTAGTTGCGTAGGCCTGTGTAGGTCAACCTCGTTCACTTTTACAGCACACGCACGGTTGTTATCCCTCAATTTAAGGTTTGTTTGCCTTCATTAAAGGGCAGCCTAGTGCACATTGGCGTCCCCGCAAGGTGAGGATCTGAGGAAGGGTCCCACAACAATGGTATATAAGGAGGAAGCCTTCCCTTTTTATTTTGACAAGAGTCTGCCTCCAAGACTTGAACACGTGACCTCACGGTCACACAGCAACACCGTAACCGGTGCACTAAGGGCCCTTCCTTCGAGCAAATACAGAAAATATGAAAATTAAATTAATCCAGAAGGGTATAAGACATTAGTAGTGAGAAGTTGTATTTACACTTTCTTGTAGCTTGAGACCAGCTTGCTTCATGAGAACCTGCATGAAGAGATATAGAAAACAATTGATTAGCGCTATTCAGCATATTGAACTGCCATAATTTTACAATGTCATATTGGCGATTGAAATAATATAGAGTATTATAGTATAAATTAAAACTAGAGTAATTTATAAAGCATGCATTGACTGTCAAAGGAAGATTTTAATATCACTCACTGCAACGACCATGTCAGCCCTGCTTCGCTGAACACCTTCTACTGTTCTGGACACAGATAGGCCAGCAACACACAGTGCCTATTTCAAGCATCAGATAATTAGTATTAATATATGCTCAAAGCATCAAATGTTGATCACAAGATCAGAAGCGCAGATTGGTATAAATGTAGCCAGGAAGGTATATATAAATGTAGCCATGAGGGTATATATATGAGCTTACAATAATTAACCAGCTTATACCTAGCAAGATATACCACATCACTATTCTGTCATATTCACTTATTGAGTAAGCCATTTTACTCCCTCCATCCTCACTCAGAAAGTCATAATAATCACTTTACAGTTATTAATTGTCACCGTCGGCAAATAAATCTTTGAGAAATTGTCATGTTCACTGAACAGTTAACATACCGAAGCAACTAATGATAAAAATTTTACTTTAAAATAACAAAAAAGAGTATCACTTTCAGCACTCCAGATATCTGTTTATTTTTAACAAAAAAGTAATACAAGAGGCAAATGAGTGCTAGATCAGATGGCAAGAAGAAAAAGGTCCTCCTGAGCTTAGAACAAAAGGGATGGAGATAAAATTGAAAAATCTCTCTTTCGAGGATTGAAGGACTGAAATAGGAGTACATTCTAAGAAAAAACTCTCTTTATTTCCACTATTGCTCTTCAAGCTATCCAAATGAGTATGATATATTATATGCAGAGATGCTAGATATGTGACATAGAACATTCAAAAAATGGGAAAAGAAAGGGTATACCTGAACTTCAATGATAAAGGCCCGTGATCCATCCATAACTACAGCAACAGCAAGCCCTACTAAAAAATCAGAATCTGAGTGCTGCTCACTTAGAAACATTTCACTAGGGTTTGCAACAGCTTGTAAGCCTGTATCTGACATTTCAAATACACCAAGCTGGCAGCAAAAGAGAAATTAAATCATAAGATTAATGCTACATTCAACACTTAAAAATTTGTTGAGGTTTCATCTTTCAGCTATATCATTTAATGACAATTTTGTTTTAAGACTAGTTGAGAACCACATTAGGACTTTACTGCATTTTTAATATGTACGCCTACCAACTCATTTTCCAAGCTGGATGAAAGATGTGAGTCGCATGATTTAGATTGAATTTGGATCTACATTGAGAAACTAGTCAAACAACAATTTATCAGTTTCATAGTAATGGTAATTATAATGCATGTGACAGCTTCATTTTTAGGGAATGATAAAAATCAATTTGACAGATATAATTTATTTTTGTAGTAACGCATGTGGGTTTCCCACTTATAGCAGATATGCAAGTATGCAACCAACCCTACTTACGGCTTTCGTGCTTCTAAAAGGTTTTCATATTTCATATGTTATAAGGGGAAAGAGAGTAAACCATTGTTACTTATTTCCTAATAGCTTTGTTTCATCTTTCAGCCGGATCATTTAATAATATTCTTTTTTAAGCCTCTTTAAGAACCACTTTAGGAGGTGCCGAGGTGGTTACTGCTTTGGTCATTTGCAAATCAACCTACTCATAAGAAAAACCAAAAGCCTTCCCTTATTATCCAGAGGCACTGTGTAACACAATAAGCACAAGTTTGTGCTGTGTAAAGATGTGCTTCACAGACAGTCATCAGGCTATGTGTAAGCCTTCCCTTATCATTATGATGTGTAACGCAAATGTAAAAGTTCATGGGAAAAAAAGTCTCTTAGATTTGTCTATAATGATAAAAGACAGCACCTCAGGCACCAAGAGTGAATTCTAGATGCTAAAGCTATTGGGTAGCTTACTTTAAATCATCCCAGCAGAACATATTTTTATGATGTGTAACGCAAATGTAAAAGTTCATGGGAAAAAAAAGTCTCTTAGATTTGTCTATAATGATAAAAGACAGCACCTCAGGCACCAAAATTCTAGAACGACAACAAATTGTTTTTTTCAGCTCAGACAAAGTGGAAATAGAGCTGCAGTAGCAGAATGTTAAAAGCTAAACTGAGTACCTCATCTGTGGATCCAAAACGATTCTTCACAGACCTGAGCAATCGGTGAGAAGAGTACTTCTCTCCCTGCCAATTGTGAGTAGCTGAATATGAAGTTGAGACTTGTTCCAACCAATAAATGGTAAAAAATCATTCAAGCATGAGAAGCTAAATATTTTCTTCAACATTTTCAGAAAATCATCCAATTACATGAAACCACAGGCCCACAACAAAATCATACACATGGGCAAAGCATGGAATATGTTGGACTGCACATCATACTATCATAGAGCACCGGATTTCTACAATTTTGCAAAGGACGAGCGAACAACCCATCCTCTTGAAAAAGAACATGCAACTTGTGTTTCAGCATATAAACATACATTACCAATTATTTACAGGAAAATACGCAAACGAGTAAAACCATCATAAACTATATGCTAAATCTAGTAAAACTCAATGTCAGAATTTCAGATGCATTATGCATAACCTGCAAATATGCCAAGACCCCACCCACCAGGCATTTTGAAATAAATGAGAGATTAAAGAACATAGAAAACAAACCTCCATATACAAGACGGCATCGACAATGTGCTCTAAGACTCGGGGTCCAGCTATTTCACCAGTTTTAGTGACATGCCCAGCCTGAAATAGAAACCGAAATACATACCTTTTTCAGGATTCACACAGTAGACAGTATATAGCATAAAGCCATAAAGTCATATAACTTTTTATGGCTATAAAACATAAACTGAATACTCCCTTCATCCCAAATTGATTTGCAAAGTCAACTTTTTTTTGTTCAACCAATGTTAAAGTTAAATCCTCCCTATTGATAATTTATTCAATTTTTATTAATTTAAATTTACAAATAAAAAAACTACATTAAAATCTCTATAAAGTTGCAATATCTAAATTAGAATATAATTAAAAATTGATATCCTAATTACATGAATAAAATGAAACTGTTTGACCAAAATGGTTGACTTTGCAAATCAAATTGGGACGGAGGTAGTATGAAACAAATACTTATGTTCCATGTCAAGATAATGCAACTCTAGATTCTGAATGACTCTCATGTGCCTTAAACTAAGATAATTACAGTAGATGATATCTACAAATATGTATTGTTCACATATTATAATTTATAAAGATTAAAGAGTTGCATTTAAAGATCAATGATCTTTATGACTAGAATCTAATGGTTACAACCCAGTGGACTAATCTGGAGGTCACAAAGCAGTGAAATGCACTTGAAGCAATTTCAAGGCTATGCATTTTAGAAATGAACAATAAAAGACATAATCGCTCAACATAATTACATAGTTATAGAAAAAACATGTGTAATTATGCAAGCTCGGGGTATTATTACAGTTTTATATCAGCAATATATTTACCAATAGAACAGGAATATTGGTCTTCTTGGCAAAACGGAGAAATGCTTCTGTGCACTCCTTCACCTGTCAAATGTACAACTATGAACAGAGTTGGCAGATAGCTAGCCCCAATATGTAAATGTCAACTTTGGACACCATTTAGCAGTTAACACAATGGTTAATAGTTAATACTCAAATAGCTTTAAGGTTTGGAGAGGAAAATAAAATAAATCAGATGTTATGCATAAGTTGATAATCAGAAAGAAGAAAAATAATAGAAAGACAGTAATGGAGGAAACAATAAATTTTGTATTTACCAAAGTTGACATTTACCATATATTGAGGTATAATGATTTTTATTAACTTTTTCTCATTTACAATCAATCAAATATGTCAAATAATCTTATTACTTAAGAATGGTTTTAGCTTCTAGGACTAAAACTATTGTTTTCCACTTTTCCTTGTGCAGGAAATTAACTAGGATTATCACATAACTTTGTAGTAAGTTTCAATTCAATCACATAACTTTAATTTGATTCATTTCAATCGTCTAACTTTATATGAGTTGCACATTATTCACATCTGGCACCTTAAGTTCTCAAAGTAGTGATGGGCATCACATCCAGTTGGAAAAAACGCATAACTTCTCCTTCCGAGTGAGCAATCCAGCCAGAAGTCTCACTTAACTATATATGCCGATGCCACAAAATATACTTACTCTCCTTTTTTCATAGAAATGCTTAACTATTAAAACCCTTAAATCGAAATTCTAAAGTTCTTCATCATTTCTCTGGTCATTCCTCGAGTTCAACGAACTGTTGCCAATTTGTGATGATTTCTCTTTCAAGTGGGTTTTTTGGTTAAACCGTTAAACTGTAATGAATCAAAGTCAATTTAGATGATCAATCTGCAACTCAGATTACAGCTACAAGACTGAAATGAATCAAATTCAAGTTATGTGACTAAAAGGAAACATACTACAAAGTTAATTCCCTCCTCCAACGGAGTGATCCCTAGATAACTTTGATAGGCTAAAATATAACTTATCGCACCTGTGTTATGCTTCCTGCACTTCCAGCTACTCCTCTGAGATAGACTGTCTGAATGGAATCAATTATTAAAGCACGTGGTAAAAGACGCTGAATCTTTTCCAGAATATCCTGAAGAAAGCTTCCAAAATTAGAAGACCGGTTCTTATGCAAAAAGTCATATGAGTAATGGTGCATACCTTACCCACTTCAATTATGTCACTACACAAAGATTAAACAGAGATACAATTGAAGATAAACCATCAAGAACTTGGATATAAGATCATGGCATCTGCAGAGGCAGTAGGGCACAAACCTCAACATCTGTACTTGTGTACAATAAGAGTTGTTCAGTCCCAATTCTCATTCGGTCAGCTCTATTTCCAATTTGCTCAATGCTCTGGCATAAAAAAATACTTAAGATCCTAAGCCAGCAATTTCCATATCGTAGAAGCAAATCTCATTCATTTAAATATCCAAATGCACTTTATGGAAGCTCAAATGAGATTGAGAATTTGTTCCTTTAATCCTTTAGACTTGTAATCCAAAAGCAGGTATGTAAGACTACAATATATATATTCATTAAGTGCAAGCTAAAGCCATGTTTCATAGGTCAAATCTACCAAGAACTAAACTATCTGACGCAATAACTAGATTTGAAATCTGATTTGTGTGTCATGACAGCTTGATGGGAACGTAAATTTTTGTCGATATATTATACAACCAGGCACAATAGATACCAACCTCTTCACCAGAGACATAAACAACTGGTGCAGATTCAATCGTGTTTTGCCCTTCACTTAGTATAGCTGCAATCTAGCAGGAGGAGAATACAGTGTCATATACTACTGTTATTCAAATGTTATGTACATGAATAATTAGTCCTTCACAATATCATACCTGTAACAATAACGTGCTCTTGCCAACACCGGGATCTCCACCCACTAAAACTAAGGAGCCTATAGATCAGAGGAAAGATGTGTTGAAGTTTAGATATTTAACTATAGAAAGATTTAAAATCTAATGCACCACATTTCCTGTACCAGTTGTGCACCACTCACTTCCATTGGTCAATATTAATTAATTAATTAATTAATTAATTAATATAATAAAAAGTTAACATGATCAATCAAAATAAGTCGTACACGGGTGGTACACAAAATAGAGTGAAGAGCATTCCAAATCCTATAAAAATAGTAATCTTGATTTTTGAAGTGTCACGATTTCATATTCTCATTAGGTTTTGATTTTAGATTTCCCAATTCCTATCGGGTTTAGGACTAGTAGTTTCAGCGCATGATTTTCTATATGAGCATTATAAGTCAATGAAGTTGCAAGTAAATAACCATATCAACAAAAGTAGTAGTTTTTTATTTACAATCAACAAATTCAATAACAATGAAAAGTCTCTATTAGTAGTACACTATCAACACACTGACATTAAGTCCCCTAAACCCTAAACTTTTGTGAAAAAGACTAAAAGATAAGCATCATAACTAATTGTAAACTGATGTTGCCCTCATGGTCTACTATTGACATAGGCTCTTGTACTAATTACCTGGAACAAGTCCACCGCCAAGCACTCTTTCAACTTCAATTCCAAAGAGTCCATATCTAAATACCGAAGTGTTAATCAATTCCCCTTTCCAGTATTCATACCAAGAGCCCTCTAACTTTAAGTATCAACTTAAGAAATGAGAGTATGCTAGATGTTCTTAATCAAGCAACCCAATAAAATAGTAAATCTCTTAGCAAATATAACACACGCATAAACTCTCTTCTCACTTACAAGGGAATTCTCCAATTACACTGATTCATCCCTTTATTCACATCTGACAATTTCATGGGCATAGACTTATCGCGCTGGTGAGGTAACCATGACCTCATCACATTTTCTGATATCCCAAAGCCCCCAGTGGGCCGATCAGCCCCTTGGGAAAACCGCTTCAAGGTATTGACGCTATTACATTCCTTACAAACACCCCACCACTGACCATCCGTGTATCCACAGTCCGAGCATACCCATACTGGTTTAATCTTCTTCCCTTTCACCTTCTTCAACCCACCCCTATTTCCTACAACCTCCCCATACACCCTACTGTCAGATTCAAACACATACTGAGAAGAACCCACAGAATTTGAAGAACTTCCACTTTCAGAAGTCAAAGCTGCTTCCTTTTGGGATGTCTCATCATGTGACCGTCCTCTTCGAGTCACCAATCGGCCGGTGGTACCATCATAGAAAGTCTCAATGCCGGAGTTCTCTTTGAAACCGGCGCCCCATCCGTTTAAATCTGGGCTAACGGCCGGCGACTCTTCAGAGACCATGCGACGGGGGGTAGACCATAAATTGCGGTAAAAAGCATGACTTTTGGAGTTCGCACGCGAGGTTTGAGCTGGGTTTAACAATGAGTTGTTTGAAGAGAGGTTAAAGATGTGCTTTTGAAAGTACAGCGCTCTCAGTGATCTCATGCCTGCGACTTGGACTGAAGAGTGAAAGAGATGGGTCGTAGGGCATAGGAAGGGTTTTGCAGCTCGTGAAAGAGCCGGGAACTTTTCGAATTGGGTGATCATTTAACAAAGAAAACCAGAAAGGAGGGAAATTGGGATTTCTGAACGTTGAACAAAATGGTTTGGATACCTCATTTTAGAGACTTGTTTTTGCACTTCTTAGTTCTTACTGCTTTCTTGTTTATATTCTTGATTCTTCCTCCTGGAGTGATATTCTAAGGCTCTGTTTGCAATCACTTGTGCTTAAATAAAAGCACTTTTGGAGAAAAAGTGATTAGTAGTAAAAGTTGGTAGTGTTTGGTAAAATAAGTGCTTTTTGTGTAATAGAAAAAGTAAAAAGTAGATTCTACACGAAAATCGAGGAAGTAAAAGTTGGTAGTGTTTGGAAAAATAAGTGCTTTTTTCTTTAAAAAAAGCCAAAATCACTTTTTTTAATTGGTTGCAAACAAGCCCTAAGGGATGTTTGGATCAAACTGATTCTGCTCCTTCAAGGAGCAGAAGCAGAAGCTGAAGTATTTGGGTGAAATTCCAGAAGCACTTCTGGTGCTCTAATTTACTCTCAGAATCAGTTTTTTTAGAAGTTGGAGATATCAGCTTCTGAAAACTGATTCTGATTCCGATTCTGCTTTAAAAAAGAAGCAGAAGCAGAATCAGTTCCAAACACCCCCTATGATTGACTTTTCATTTCAAGCTTTAGGCTAAACACAGATCTCGGATTTCCCGTTCCGTACCGAGAACCGTTCTGAACTGTACCAGAACCGAGCATACCTGCAAAAATATAATACGGTACCGTACCAAACTTTTTTAAATAATATGGTACTGTACTGGTTCTTAAGTGAGGACCGTCCCGTAATATTCCAAAATATTGGCTATATAAATAGTACTCCATATATAACGTATTTTATATACCCCAAATTTTGGAGTATATATTAGGTATTAATCTACACTTTGATTACTCAAAATTTTGGGTCTCAATACAATTATACGGACTCAATTGATTGTTGAGACACGACTTAGAATTATGGCAGACTTATTCCAGTTCAAATATGGACTATTAAGTTGGTTTTGTTTGTCATGTGATGACATACCTTTTGTTTTTTCAGTTTGACTATTAGTTTTGTATTTCAGTTATCTGTGATTTCAATCTATAATTATTTATGTACAATCCTACAATCCTATATATTTATCATGTGATGACATCCCTTCGATTTTTGTACAATTATTTATTAATGTTATACCTAAAATATTTTTTTACTTTGTGGGGGTTAATTATTTAGGAATCGAATAGTAACGAAAAACCGTACCGAACCGTACCAAAAATTGGTACAGAACGGGACAGGTTCAATACATATTCAGGTTGGTACCGGTTTCCTGATTTTTAAAAGAACCGTACTTTGGGACGGGACAGGTTCTTTTAAAAAAACCGTCTCGTACCGTCCCATGCTCACCCCTATCAAGCTTCACTCTAGTCTTCGATTATTAACTTTTGACAAAATATGAGGTATTATAATTAAAAGAAATTGTGTAAATAGAATTCAAATAGAAACAATGGCACTAATATTGCTTTCTAAGTTTCTAATTCCAAAAATATGATCACTTTATGTTTTCCCAAAAATGTGACCTAATATCCTCACCTACTGCTCTTCTTCGTCGACATCTTCTCTCCCTTTCCGTTCCCGTCCAACGACCTACTCCGTCCTTCGTCTTCTCCACCAACACCAGATCTCCATCTAACAACACGCTCACGCGACATCGACACCCTCCTCCAGCGAAGTCGGAAGCGACCACCACTGGGATGCCATTAAAATATATAGACAAAGTACAAATATAAGAGTAAATGGATCCTATTTTAGAAAGAAAAAAAAAAGAATATACTATCGTATACAGCTTTTTTGCAAAACAATTGAGAGTGAAGAAAAGAAAAGAATTGTTACACTCTTTGTGCACTTTAATAATGTTACACTATTTGTGCACTTTAATAATGTTTAAGTCATTTAAAGAAGAGAAAAGGGACAAATAAGGTAACATACTAACAAAAAAAGGTCAAATAAGGCCCTATTTAAGAGGCTATGTCCGGCTGTTGCCGTTTGGGGTGGTTCCTAGTGGATTTTTTTGATGAAATTTTTTGAGCATCTTATTGGCTAAAACTTCAATCGGGAAGGCAATCAAGGGCGATGATTGGCTATCACTCACAAAGTTTCGTTGTGAGTGGTAAGTTGAATTGGTAGTTCCCCGTCCTTTTTATTCTCTAAGCGAGATTTGTAATATCGTAATTGAAGCATTTATTATTTTTTTTTTTTTTGAGAGTAATTGAAGCATTTATTTTGATGGGGGTAACAAAATGGTATGGTCTTTATAAATATCTCAATTCTATGTTTTACCTCTCTTCACCCTTTGGGTGCGGAACCAATATTTTACCTTTGTCATTATTACTTCACAAGTGTGTTCCCTCTTGGTTAGACTATAAGGCCCTAAGTAAGGTCAATAATGGACAAATTTAATGTGAAATTTGTTCAAATCGTTCCAAGTTATGGTTGAATCTATTGAGCAACGAAAATATATTATTATTAGAACAAAGAAAACTAGATGAAAAAGTTGAAATTATCCTCTTCATCGATCTGATTCAACGAGAAATTGGTATGTGAAAGTATTTTGGTTAATTGATTATTAAACAATTCAATGCATGAAAAATGCTTGCTACAAAATTCAAGGTGACAAGCTAAATTACAAGGCTACAAAATGAGCTCTTATTTGCATTGTCGAGTTTAACACATGTCCAACATTGTTTCCTAACTTTAGAAAATACTGAAAGACTAATCTTATTTGCATATATCTCAGTGATAGATATATTGCTCTCATCATATGAGGGTGATGTTTAAGCACTTGATTAGTTGATTAATTGACGTCTCATTATGCTAATTGCTAAATGAATAAACTAATGCTCATTTTGGTAAATATGATGTCTCAAACCTAAGAAAACACACCTATGAATAAGGAGTACTACATTGGGGATACTGGGTGATTTCCCAAAATATGGGAAATTGTTACATGCAATGCCAAAATACGGGGATAAATTTAGGGTGTCGGAAGTGGGAAATCCGACTGGAGCTAGGGTTTGGTTTAATTTGTAAAAAACCTCCAGTTGGAACTGGCTAATCCTACCAAAGGTAAGATTCTTTAAAAAATGGATTAAACTCCTGTTGGAAGTCACAAATCCGACTAGAGTTTTTTTTTAATAATTGCTCATTTTTTATGTTTCAAATAAATAATGGTTTTTATTTCGAATAAATAGTACGGAGTAATTTTTAATTCGAATAAAAGTTATCCGATTAAGCCGGAGATTTAAGACCTATCTGAATAAAATTTCGAAAACATAAGTATTTTTTTTAGATTTTTAAATAATTACTCAAAATTGCCTTTTTAAAATAATTCTGACACCAATTTATTATTTAAATTATTCCAATCATAATTCTGAACACATTTATTGTTTATCAAAATCAAAATAAATTTTGAATTTGTTTAAAACACAATCATTCCCGAACCAGACCCTACCGGTTCTAAACAATGTCATTACCGGTTCTCATAAAATAAGAATCAATACCGGACCGAACCGGATCGGAGCATGATTTAATTAATTAAATTTACATTTATACCATTACTTTGACTAGTGCCTTTACATTTTCACCGCATTTGCTAGTTCATAGGAAGCCTGGAACCGAACCGATGTACGGTTTAATTATGTACTACTATAGTTTATCTAGAATGTATTAATTATGTAATACTACCTCCGTCCCAAATTAATTTGCAAAATTAACTTTTCTTGATCAAACAGTTTTATATTATTCACTTAATTCCGATGTCAAATTTATTATATTTAATTTGGAATTTGCAACTTTGAAGATATTTTAATGTAGTTTTTGAATATGTAAATCTTAATTGTTAAGAGTTGAATTAATTATCAATAAAGATAATTAATAAATAGTAATAAAGTACTCGGCTTTGAGGAAAGGATTAAAGTGCTAAAATACCCCACTTTAACATTGTTGGAAGACCCAATTCTGACTGAAATTTAAATTTAAAAAAACTCTATTCGGATTCCCAAATCCAACCACATGTACGTCTTTGTTTTTAGAAACCTACCTCCAGTCGGAAACCACACTTCCGACTCCCGGATTTTGGAAACAAATGGGAACTCCCGTATTTTGGCTTGTCAGACAAAAAAAGCCCGTATTTTGGTAATTTCCCCGGGGATACTCAACTATTATTGTGTCCTTCGGGAAAGATGAGTACAGTTTAATTAATTTTTTTCTCTAACGATCTATGTATTTGTGCTTTACACACTTTTCAAATGTACCTTGTCAAGTTGTCATATATAAACCATATAGGGGTGTAGTTAAGGGGCCACATTAAGTTGAACCCACTTCAAATTAAATTTGAATTCATGGGTAAGAAAATGTATAAATTTCTCTTGAACTAACCGATTCAGCCCGTTGCACCGTACACTTGCACCCTTTTGGCTACGCCACTGATGTCATACATAATGTTTAATGGTCACAAAATGTAGCATTTTCATTGTAGGTAGAAAATAAACACAATGTTATTATGTGATTCAAAACTACATCGGAAATGGTAATCAACATGTAGGATTTGGACAACAAGTGGTCCAATATATATATATTGTGGGAATTACACAAAAATAACCTATTTAAAAATGCATTTTATATATGCAAATGAGTAGTAGTAATTATATCAAAACAGTGGTAAAATAAAAACGAGGCATAAAATCGTGAAAATGCGTGTGGATACTGTTTTAAAAATGCGAATATGTCGCTATAACTACATTTTTCTTATACTTCTTCATTTCTTTAAAATTTTGTCATCTTTGTTTTTTTTTTCCCAATCAAATTAAGGTAAATATTTACAAGTGATATATTTTTATAGGAAATGATTTATCATATAAGAAATGTGAAAATAATGGAAAGGCATACCTAATGTGGTAGCCTAGATGTCATATATATATAATGATAGAAGTTCTGAGTACATTAGGAAACTACATAAATATGGAAACCTAATTAAAATATTAATTACACTATTACACCCCCTCAAGCTGTGCAGGGGAAACAATGCGAAGATTGTCCCTTAGAAAAATAAAACG